GGATAAAGAGAATTAACATTAATGATGTTCCCAAAGCCCTGACCTCAGCCTATCTGAAAATTTGCGGACTCTACCTTTAAAGTCTAATTTGTGCTAAAAACTGGCATAAAATTGTTAAAGCATCTATGCACAAATGAGTGCATGTAAATTAATAACCACCTTTATCAGACAAAAATTTAAAAAATAATTGGCAATGGCAGGAAGACAATGAAATAGATCAGGAATGGATTTAATGAAAAACTGCAAAAAAAAAAAAGACGTAACCTGTTGTATTTTCTAAGTAATTCATGTAAATAATCTCCGGGAGAAGTAGGCATAAGCATGACTCAGCATCTCTGAAATTCTATTAAAGAAATTCATAGAAAATTTACAATTTTTGGGACATACATATTTTGAACTAACATGAGAAGCAAGTTGGCTTGGTGGAAAACCAAGTTTAGCTTAGCTTGGGAAGCAAAATCCAAACAATAAAAAAGCAAAATAAATGTTAAAGAATTGAGACAATCTGAGTTATGGGTGTTTTCTTCTTTCAGGGTGCTGATCGTTTAATTGATCCCTCATTTACTGATCACATCAGAAAGATGATTACTTCAAACCGTACTCACGACAACTCTTACTACAATAACATCAAGCCTCCTCCTGACCACCTGGGGACAACTCATGTCTCCGTCCTGGATGAGGACGGATTGGCTGTCTCTGCCACCAGCACCATAAACCAAATGTGAGCAGGACTCTTCAAACATTTGTACAACTGCAAACACAGATAAGGACCTTCTTCTGATGGTATGCATCCATCCCTCTGTTGATTGTGTTCTGTAGATTCGGAGGAGGTGTTTACTCTCCACAGACGGGCATCGTCCTGAACAACGAGCTCGCTGATTTTTGCTGGCGAGCAAACACGCTGAGGGCAGGTAAAGTCACGGACATAAACACGGCTGTACAGACGGTGAGGAGGTCTAGAATTGTGCCGCTCAAGGTGGCTGATTGTTGGAGTAGCTGTTACTTTCATTCTGGGATGTTGCTTTTGAAAACTTTATTTCCTCTTTTTTCTGGATGTGAATCGCTTTTTTGGATGATTACTTCCTCTGGTATTGGATGTTGTGCAACTGGAAGGATTTTTAATGAAAACCCTTTTACTTTTGGACATTTGTTATGAAGTGTAACCATGACAACAAGGTGGGATTTTTTTACAAACAGGAGCAGCTGATCAGCATCTCAAAGCTCAAATATTACAGCCCTAAATCTCAAATGAGTTGTAAAGGAGGTGACATGGATGCATCTCCGTCTAGCTGACAGAGGTGCTCGAGTGACTGTTGAGATCCTGGATCCGGCAGGAAACATGGCTCATGACCAGAAGAAGACCAGGATCATCCCCTGACACATGCAGATGGCTGTTTGCAATGATGAGGAGCTCAGCAAGCTGCTGAAAGGAGTGGACATCGCCCAGGGAGGAGTTCTGTCAGGTGGTCCTGCTGCCCAGGAGGACCGAGAGGCCCGCTGGGTCTGGGTGGATAGAGCGGCATCTGCAGCCAGTTTCTTCAGATTCTCTGCGGGATGGATTGCTGCAGATCCTTCCTGTCCACAGCCATCAGCATATATAACAACTCTTAATGAAACCAGGATGTTGTGCTACAACATTTAATTTCCCTTAGGGATTAATAAAGTATTTCAAATTGAATTTAATTGAACTAAACGTGTTTTTATTAGTGTTCTTCACTCGGATTTTGAATTCCCTTTGATTTTCTGTCTGATGCAGGTGAGCGGCCTCCCTCCTCAATGACTCCGGTGATACTGGAGTCAAAATCTGGAAGGATAATTGTGATTGGTGGATCAGGAGGAAGCATGATTACCACAGCAATGGCTTTGGTAATTAAATGCTGCTTGTTTCTTAGTTTGTGTAAATGTCCTGTGCTGAAACTATTATCTTTTTTTTTCTCTTGCAGTCCCTAATAAACCGTCTCTGGCTCGGGATGAGCTTGAAAGATTCAATTGCCGCTCCTGTTGTTTTTGTCGATTCACAGAACAATCTGAACTTTGAACAAGGATTTGATGAGGTACTTCGTTTACAGTATTATATAAAAAAGTTTGTAACCATTTTTTATTTCATTATATATGCTTTTCAGGAATCAGACTTTCTTGTTTTTTTTTTTTTACTCATTATCTGTTCAGTCCTTGTATATTTGATTTTAAGCTTATAAAATAAAGAAATCAGGACAAACCAGAGGATAAGAAAAAATGTGTCTGGTCTCAAAATAATCTAAACACTGTTAATTTACTATTTTATTCTAAAAACAAAATTACACACACTTCATGGCAACTAAAGCTGTATAACCAGTAATAATGTGGTGGTTAATTATAGATTTACCAGTTTCTCACCTTAAATTGTCTGCAAATTAAGGTACTGGTACTAAACGCTGACTTTACCAATATTTTAAGATTTTTTTTTATTATAATTTAAAAATGCAACTCAGTGTCACAGAAATGTAGCTACAGCTTTGCTTTTGCAGCCCTGTACAGTGCAAGAAGGTTATTTTCTGCCCAACGTATTACTTTTAGTATTTTTAATAAACTCAGCTAAGCAGGAATAAATTTGAACTGTGACAAAATGCTTCTAAATTAAAATAATGGTCCTTTGCTAAGTTTTATATGTCGACACAGCACTGATTTATTCATTGACAACAAAACAAAAAATAAGAAAATGAGTGAAAAAGCAACCAAAATCTAAAGAAAAGCCATGAAAAAAAAAAAATTGAAGACCATGAAAATATTCCAAGAAAGTCTGGTTACCTTTAAAACAAAATGTTTATATACGTCTAATTCAGGGCTTTTGCAACATTTTGATTTATATAGCAAATATTTAACCATGATGCTGCAAAGTGTCATTTTAGTTCACCCATTTGTTTAACAGCTTTGAATAGTTTTATTAATTCACATTCATTCTGTGTGTTCCCAGTCAGTGATACAAGGCCTTAGAGCTCTTGGACACAAAGTTGGAAACTGGGAATTCTTTTTTAATGTTGTCAACGGCTTGGAACAAGAGAATGGCTGCATAGAGGCTGTGTCAGACAGCAGGAAGATGGGAATGCCTGCTGGATACTAACTGTGAGGAAGGGTAACCTTTCACAAACCTCTTTTTATAGACTGACTGAAATGACCTTAGGAACAATGAATGTTCTGCAACTCTGTCAACAAAATGTGAAAAAATTGTGCTCTGGGTGTTTTTATTCATATTTTTAGGGAGACACGATCGCCAGTCTCTGTAAAATGACACGAGATGTTGCCAAAAAATATATTGCAATAAGCTTAAATGAATAAATTCAGATGGTCTAAACCTCCTAATTTGGAAGTTGAAACATTAGCAGCTACTTTTTCTTGAAAATTAAACAAAGTGAATCTTAAGAACACTCATCAAAAGTAAATAAAGTGGAATCAAACTAAACGTCTGGTAACTACTCGCTCAAGTACCATAGAGTATTGTCAGACAAAGATGGAACAACGTGGCAAATGTAGCGCTATCCTTTAATTAGACTCTCCTCCTTGGTCTTTGAATGCATCACAATATCTTGTGATAATCCCCTTTATACTTTTACATTATGTAGATACAGCTGGGTGTGTAAGTTCTTCACAGAGTTTTGAAACGTAGCTTTTTAAAATTTTCTGCATTTATGACTGTACTAAACAAAACATGCTTCATGCCTTACTGTTGAGTTTAACAGGTTCAACAAATGTTATATTTTCTAACTGAACTACGAGTTGTTGTTTTTTTTAATCAAGATTTTCCTCCTGTCGAAGAGCCATTTGAAGTGACATTATGGCCAGCAAGCTGTAAAACTTAAACTGTGATTTTTAGCATCTTACTGTACGTCGAAGAGACAATTTTCGTCCCAGTCCACATGTTGACACCAGTATGGTTTAAACGTTTTGACTGCAAAAAGAAAAAAAGTATATTTGTTTATATTGTGTTTTTTTTTTTTTTTTTTACTAAATACTTTACTGTGATTACAACTGTTCATGATTTTTATGTTGTTACAATAAAACATTTAGGCTAAGGCCTCCATCTTTACCTGAAAGTTTGAACATTTGTACCTTAACAAAATACTCTGGCAGCTAATTGTTTGCTCTAAACTTGTATTTTTTTGGTCAGATACCCCAGTGACCAATAAACGTTCATAAAAGTCAAAGTTTCTGTATTTGTCGTACGCACCACATGTGGTACATGAGGTGGAACAAAATTGTGTACACAGGGTCCCAGTTACATCCAACAAAAGTATAAATTGTAAAGACAAACAGTAATAAGATCTAAGATAAGAACTAAGAAAAACATCAAACTAAAAATACACTAAGTAGTACAAAAACTACTAGTCATGAACTTACTTTTTTTTTTTTTCATTTTTTACAAATTTATTTTAAACATCACCAGATGTTCAGACACCTGACGGAGCTTAGTAATTAATTTATTGTGGATAAAGTTATCTGGACATACAGATTACACCTGAATTAATTAACGTTGCAACATTTAAGGACATCGCCCACTGCCTTGCATGATAAAGTTTTAAACAAATATATAAAACAGTCTATTTTATGCATTGGGGATTACTCTCAGCTTCTACTACTACACCAAGTTTTAGTTCAATATCTGCAAAATTGACTTTGGCCATTTTTGTGTTGACTAAAGCAGGTTGCTTGATTGAGTCTGACAAACTTCATCAAATGGTTTATGAGATATTTTGCTGACAGACAAATGAACACACAGGCACAGCATCATCTGACAAAACCTCTGAGTACATAAAGTTGACTTCTGGTGTGTTATTTTGGCTCTACATGCGCTACATGTTCGATGGTCACACAGGGAAGTTGCTCATGCGTCATTATTTTTTTGCTGACATGGTCCTCTCTCTCCTCCTGCAAGCCAAAGTCTGTCCCCAGTGTCTGCATGGGTTTGAAGTTCATGTTGGACCTGATGTTTATAACTCAACATGGTCTTTTTATTGTTAAAGACATTGGCCTTCAAAAGGACAGTGGAGTTTAAAGTAAAGAGAGAGAATGGTTTCCTGCAAAGATTAAAGAGATAAGATAAGCGATGAGAAGTTTATTGTCATTGTATTTTCCTATAATTATTTCTGGTGCCAACTTCAGTTCACATGCACAACTGCAACAAAATAGTTTTTTCCTCTTTTGTTTTCCAGAAATCTAAAATGGTCTCCTTTGTCTTGTTGATGTTAAGGACTAGATTGTTGTCACACCACTCTGTGGTGCTTCCATAGGCTGATCATTGTCAGAAATTAGACCAACAGATTTGGTGTTTGCCATGTCACAATCATATTTGATGGATTTGTCTACCCGGAATCTCTGGTGTCTCTGTTTGTAAGGAAGTCAAGCACAGAGATAAAAAAAAAAAAAAAGTGTCCCATCCTGCTCAATTTGTTTTCAGTTTGTAGAACTCGTTAAGCTCATCCGTTTTAAGTTGTTCTAAGTGGAACCAAGTGTGGAGACCAGCTGAAATGGCATCACCCATGGAGCATTTTGCTCATGAGGCAAACTGGTGTTTGTCCAGTTCTGGAGGAATGATACTTCTGATGTGTGAAAGCAACAGCCTCTCAAACCACATCATTATGTGTGTTGGAGCAACGGACCCGTAGTCATTCAGGCACTTCACCATGGATGTCTTGGGCACTAACTGATGAACTGATGGATGTACTATTGATGAAGTAGAGTGAGGAACAGCTCCTTTGTCTTTAGTGTCAAAGCTAGCAAAAGGCTGGTTCAGGACATCTGGGTGGTGTGTTTACAATCTGCCACTTTTTTTCATTCCCTTCTACATTTTGAGGGGATTTTTTTGGCTACTACATGTAAGTGCTGATGATGTGATGCTTGTATTTACACGTTCCATATTTTATGGCTTTCTTGAAAATTTTTTTGTGTTTTTTTGTATGCTGAAGCATTCTCTGCTCTAAAAGTACACGGATAAAAGAGCCTGTGAAAGAACATGTGTTGAACAGCCTAACTTCATGGCAAACACAGCAGTCAACAATCTGTCCGTTAACAGCTGGATGTGTACAGTACAATAAGTGTGGTACATATCTGTGAGTGGTGAGAAACTTTAGCATTGGGCGTTACCTTGAAAATGAAGTGGGCGGGTTCTTTGTTTTATGTTGTTCTTTCAGCTGTTCCCTTCTGCAGAGGTCGCCGCAACGAAAGAACTCACATGAAGGATTTGGCAATTGTTTTACACCGGATGTCCTTCATGATGCAACCTGGGCCAGAACCCACAGCCTCAATATTACAAAATTGCAGCAATGACCACTGAGCTATCACAGCCCACATTTGTGGAGCAGAGGGCTGTCATCTAAGGGTCCCAGGGGAGCAGTTTGGGGGTGCAGGGTTAAGGACCTTAGGGCTCAGAGTGGGGCAAATGAGGATGGAGGCAGGTGTGGGTGCTTCACCTTTCCCATCCACATTTTGATGTTACGGACAGTCAGGGGATATGAACTGGTGACTTTCCAATTGCAACCACTCCCCCAAGTTTTTATTTATATTTGAATTTTTATCAGAAATTGGGGGTTTGATTCCACCAGCAGTCACATCCCAAAGTGTCCCTATAGGCAAGAAACTGAACCCTTCGTTTCCTCCGATGTGTGTCCCATCGGTGTATGAATGTGATAAAGCATTGTAGAGTCTTTGTAGAGATCTAGTAGAGTGCTGTATGAATGGGTAAATGAGGGCACAGATTGACGTGTAAAACACTTTGAGTGTCTTGATAAGAGAAAAGAGCTATATAAGTACAGTCCATTTACCATATACTTTTCAAATTCAAGTTCAAGTGTTTTATTGTCATTCGCATCACATGTAGTGCATGAGGTGGAACAAAATTGTGTACACAGGGTCCCAGTTACATCCAACAATAGCAAAAACATAAAGTGTAAAAATAAACAGTAAATAAGGACCTAAGATATAAACTAAAAATACTCTAAACACTATTAGTGCAAAACAATATGTAATTTTGTCAACTTGTTGAAATTGTACAAAATTGACATGATTCTGCGTTTTAATGGTTGAACCCACATGAATGAGGCAGGAGAACTCGGGAGAAAAAATACAAATTATTTTTACAACAACAAAAACAAAGTCATGACGAGGCAGCAAAAACTTACATTTGGGGAGGAGATGACAAACGGAGCAGACACAGAACATGAGGCCTTGGAAGGATAATGCCCGGACACAGGACAAATGGAAAGACACTGACTTTATACAGACAAGACATGATGACAACACTTGGAGCGAACGAAAGTGAAGACAGATGTGACAGATGTATGAACAGAAAAACATAGACACCCCACAAAAATAATGACTTATAAATGTACTGCATAAAGTACATTTTCTAGCCTTGTGTACCACTCCAACCATCTTTTTCTACCACTTGCAAATACTCATTTACACATAAATGTCTCTCTGTATTTAATACATTCAGTACATTTTCTTATTCTACTGTGAACACGTCACATCCAGGGTTAATAAATTTATGTTTAATTTACTCTTTTTTTAATTACGTTTCACATACCTTTGAGTATAGCTGTTATGTAACCATCAATAATCTACATCATGTTTTACAGTTTGCCTCATTTGAGAGCAGTATTCAGATTTTTATTTTTATTTGTTTGGTGGGGATGGGAGCAGTAATGAGATGCATTTTCCATAGACAAACTTATGAATTTGTAATGATTTCTTAAGTGGATTCTGCTACTCTTCTCTTTGAGGCACTCAGTAAGAGGATGCAGATCTCAGGCTGTGTGAAGAAGTCATGTCTTTGTTGAATGACAAACGACTTAATCTTGATAAGATTTTACGGCTTTGGTGTCACGACAGCAGCATCTTTCTGCAGAGAATAGCCTTTATAAGTAAGCATCGTTTTTAACTCTGCAGAAACGTCTCAGAAACAAATGTCTTTTATTTGAACTTCAGGCTGTTAAATGATCTGCTGATTCTGTCACAAAGTCCTTTAATGAAGCAAATTATTTCAGCAATAGTCATTTGAAGCTGTGTGCATTTTTTAATCTGTCAGAAAGTAATCCAAAGCAATGAGTCAAGATAAAATTACACATGTAAAGACTGCAAACTTTTTTATTTTCATGCCTGCAGGTTTAATAAATTGGCCTATTGGGGTTGCATAACTCTGTTCAAAAGAACTGCTGTATGTGAATGATGAACTGTGCCTAATTGGGCCTTTG